AACGACATACAAAAAGAAGCGCGGAAGCAATGCAAACCATTTTGACGGCAGATGCAAAAGAAAGATACAGAACAGCGCTGCACCCTAGAACTTAAAGCCCGTGAAACCCCAAACCAGACACCCCAAATACGAATCCCGTAACCCCCATCAAACACCCACCGTAAACCACAGTGGCCACAGAAGCAGAAGTTGTATGCACTGCACTCAATCACTCAGACATGGAATCCAATGCGAAAGGCAAAAGGCATGCAAGCCCGAGCGGTGCAAACAGTTCTGAAGCTAAGGTCCGGACTCACCGACGAAGCGACGTGCAACAACTGGGCCGCAAATTGTGTGTTGTTTTAAGCCAATCGAGAATTACAATCGGATGTGCCAGGCATTTGTGTCTACTGCTGCTGCTGCTGCTGCTGCCTGCTAGGATATGCTCAAAACACTTCCCCTATGGCCTAGCCTAGAGCTCGGCGGCGGTGCAGCAAAGTGCTCGCGCCCGGATGGTTGGCGCTCGGCCCGTTGTCGAATCATGGCTCCTCGGCCGGATGCTGGGCACGCCGGCCCGTCGTTGCGTCGTCAAGTGTTGCCCGGCTGGGCGGATGGGGTTCTTGGCTTGCCCCCTTGCCATGTCACGGGTGGGGTTCTCGGCTTGGCCCCTCGCCATGTCACGATCCTAAACCCTAAACCCTACGAGCCAGGGAAGGACCGGGACTCGCGAGTGGTGCTCCCGCTCGGCCCCCCCTGACCCGCCTCAACCCCCCTTTTTCCCCGCAGCTGGCGCGGCGACGGCACCGCCCCAGCTGGAAGCACCTGGGCAGAGAGGCGGGGGGCCGGGGATCCCGGATGCAAGGCGGCCTAGGGTACCCCGAGAGGTTTAGGGACCTACCAACCCCGAAAACCCCCCGACCCCAGCAGAGAACCCTGTGCACCTGCACTCTAAACCTCGCGGCCTACGAAAACCCCGGCCTTCCAACCTGAAAAAACCCTGAACCTGGCGTGCACGGACCACTGCCTCGCTGCCTCGGAGCCCCAACCAGCCTTCCGAAAAAAAAACCTAGCCCGTCAGCATCGTCAACGAGGTCGGACCTGGGCGAGGGGAGGGTGGGGGGAGGAAGGAGGCGGGGGGGCGGGGATCCCGGATGCAAGGCGGCCTAGGGTACTCCGAGAGGTTTAGGGACCTACAAACCCCGAAAACCCCCCGACCCCAGCAGAGAACCCTGTGCACCTGCACTCTAAACCTCGCGGCCTACGAAAACCACGGCCTTCCAACCTGAAAAAACCCTGAACCTGGCGTGCACGGACCACTGCCTCGCTGCCTCGGAGCCCCAACCAGCCTTCCGAAAGAAAACCTAACCCTGAAACCTAAGAGGGACCAGTCAGCATCGTCAACGAGGTCGGACCTGGGCGAGGGGAGGGTGGGGGGAGGAAGGAGGCGGGGGAAGGGAAGGGAGCGCGCACGGACACTACCTTGCAGCCTCAGAGCACCTTCCAAGAAACCCCGGAAAACCCCCGAAGCCTGCACTACTCCTAGTGAAGACCCCCCTACGGCAACACACTCTGAGGTCCCGGCCCAGCCCCGCCCCGCTGCGATCCGAAGGGGATTTAGGGAAAAAGTTCCGGGGAAGGGGTCGGGACCGAACGCAGGTGTTTTTAAGCTGCAATCAGATGTGACAAGCATTTGTGTCTACTTCCCAAGCCCCCTCTTCTGAGCCATCGAAAAACCGAATCACTGTTTCAAGCCACAATCCCAAAATATTGTGGCACCAAGATGTTTGGATTTTAACGAGATTAGGGTATTCGGGCATTGAGGCATCAGGGGATTAGGGCCATTAGGGTGTTTCTAAGCCAATCAAGAATTGCAATCAAATGTGCCAGGCATTTGTGTCTACTCCCCAAGCCCCCTCTTCTGAGCCACCGAAAAACCGAATCACTGTTACAAGCCACACTCCCAGAATATGTTGGCGCCAAGATGTTTGGATCTTAAGGAGATTAGGATATTCGGGCATTGAGGCATTAGGGCATCAGGGCCCAGGTACGACGAAGAAGCCGGGGCGGAAGCGTTCGAAGCTGCACCTGAGCAAGAAAGGTAAAGACGTACGTCCCGACGCAAAGCAACCTAAACAACCCGAGAAGCAACGTCGCGGGCAGCACCCAGACTTCAAATGAAATAAAACTTGAAAGTTGAAGCGTTCCGACCAAAAGGGACATGCGGGCTCAGGTCGACTTCTTCGGAACTTGAAACATCTAAAGCGACTAGCGGAAACGCAATGGAATTCGAAACCAGGAACTAACCCCTTAAAGTACGGCGACACAAACCCTAAAAGGAACCCTTAACCACAAACCCCGAACCACTAATAAAATACGGCCTCGGCCATAAAAAGAAAGCTAAAGCCCCAACACCAAACCATTATCTCGAAAGCCTTCGTCATAGCCCCGAACACAACAGCAAACCCCAATCCCAAAGCCCTGACCTGACTTGCAGACACCGCGGCCCCATGCAACAAACACCAGCGCCACAAAAAATGACAACCCTTCAATCTACTCAAACCAAGCTCTTTCAACCCCAAACCCTAAACCCCTACCCCCGAAAACCCTACCCACCAAAGCCCGCCTTCCTGGAGCCCTACTGCGGAGGCGAAAAACGAAGCATCCTGGAGCCCTCTTATAGCGGTGGGTGCCGAAGCTTCCTGGAGCCCTCTTGTAGAGGTAGATACCGAAGCTTCCTGCAGCCCTAGTGTAGAGTCGAAACCAAAGCATCCTGGAGGCCTCTTGTAGAAGTGAAGCCGAAGCTTCCTGGAGTCCTACTGTAGAGGCGGAAACCGAAGCTTCCTGGAGACCTACTGGAGAGGCGAACAACGACGCTTCCTGGAGCTCTCCTGTAGCGGTGGATGCCGAAGATTCCGGGAGCCCTACTGTAGTGGTGACAGACGAAGCTTCCTGGAGCCCTAACCTTTCCAAAGCCCCTTCAAAGCTTCCACCCTGACGAACCCCAGTGCCCAACAAACCTTGAACCCCATTCCAGCAAGGGAGTGTAACAGCCATCCGCCGGGAGGGTCCAGAGCTGCTGACAATCCCAAGGGGCAAACGGCCAGCAAGGAAGTGTGACAGCCATCCGCCCCCTTTCCACCAAGCTCCACCCAGATTGCGACCAGCTGACAATCTGAAGCCCTGAAGATTGCCACCTGCTGACAATCCAAAGGGCAACCGGCCAGCAAGGGAGTGTGACAGCCATCCGCCCCCTTTCCACCACCCCCCACCAGGATTGCCACCTCTTGGCAATCCGTGCCCCCTTAAGATTGCCACCTGTTGGCAATCTGTACCCCCTAAGATTGCCACCTGATGACAATCTAGATCCCCTGTGATTGCCACCTGTTGGCAATCTGTACCCCCTTAAGATTGCCACCTGTTGGCAATCTGTACCCCCCAAGATTGCCACCTGCTGACAATCTAGATCCCCTGTGATTGCCCCCTGTTGGCAATCTGTGCCCCGCTACGATTGCCGCCTTCTGACAATCTAGACCCCCTAAGATTGCCACCTGCCGGCAATCCATCAGGCCTGGCAAGTGGCAGCTAAGCACCAAAAGCGCAGGTGTGATTGCCACCTGTTGGCAATGTGACACCCCCCCCCCCTTAAGATTGCCACCTGCTGACCATCTAGATCTCCTGTGATTGCCACCTGTTGGCAATCTATACCCCCCCTCCCCCCTACGATTGCCGCCTTCTGACAATCTAGACCCCCTAAGATTGCCACCTGCCGGCAATCCATCAGGCCTGGCAAGTGGCAGCTAAGCACCAAAAACGCAGGTGTGATTGCCACCTGTTGGCAATGTGACCCCCCCCCCCCAACCCACCAACCAGGATTGCCATCTTCCGACAATCTAGACCCCTCAGGAACACAAACCCGACCCGTACACGCAGTGCGTTTCTGGACCCTCCGTTCGCACTTTAAGGGGGTATGCTAACTGTCTTTTGGAAGCTAGTAATGGCGTCGAACTACAGCGACTGCTGTATGTGCCAGTTCACTAGCGAAGCGGCCTCCAAATACCTAAAAAGAGCCGATCACTTCTGCAGATTTGCAAGCTCAAGCTCCTTCAGCCGGGGTGGGCGCCCGGGGTCTGCTTGAAGCCATGCGATCCAAGGCCGGAAGCGGTCGAAGAGCAAGTGGCCTTCAAGTAAGCCTCGTTCAGGTGTCGAAGAACCAGTTGAAGAAGATGCGGAGAGAGGGGTGTACCAACACCGTTCTCGAAGTCCGCAGGTTGGAGCGGGGGCCTCAATTTGCAGGCAATCTCTTTCGGGTGATCCGCCCTCTTTCCTGCCTGAGGCGTGGCGTTTCGATGACCGTGGAAAACCACCTGAAGGCTGAAGGACTGAGGGGGATGGATGTGATGCCCCTCCTCGCCGTGAAACCCGGTCGACCAAAGGGCACCAAGTCCGTGAGGGACCGGGTGATCGGCGAGGAGGAGGTTCTCGATGGGCGGGTCAAAGGCATCACCAGAGACCTTAAGGCCCATGTTTCACCCAACAGTGGCAAGCCACTGTACGATTTTTTAAGACGGCTTCATCCCAAAGAGGATTGGAAGCACGTCTACCTCTGGCTGATCGACCCACCGCCGCAGCCGAGGTAAAAAGAAGCGCGAGCCTTGCAACAACCACAGGGAACAGGGGACCGCAACCCCAGTTGTAGAGCCGGCTGCAGTGTCAAAACACCGCACCCCCAAAATAACAAAAAGCAGGAACACTCACCCCCCGGTAAGCGTCTAGACCCACTGTGTGCACAGGCCGACAGAACCGCCGAGGCAACAGCGCCAAGCAACGAAGCCGAGAAAGCGGCAAAGCTCGCAAGGGATGCCGCTGAACCATCTCACGAAGGACCGGCCGCGCGACGAGGGGGGGCCGAGACGGACTCCGACCACGACACGGAGCCCGGACCCAGCGTCGAGGCCGGCGTTTTCCCGCGAGCATCCACTGTCAAGAGCGCTCTTTAGGCAAGCAGACAATGCACCCGAGAGGAGCACTTTCGGGGCATGCTGGCCATCAAGAAGATGTCAGGCGACGGCAACTGCCTCTTCCACGCGCTCGGAGAGAACACCGGCGAGAGCGGGGCATGCCTCCGAGCCCTAATCATCCAGTACCTCAGAGAGAACGCAGAAGCCGAAGAAGACGAAGAGCAAGTGCAGGCCTGGCTACAGGAAAGCCAATAGCTCCAAAGCGATCCGGGTCACTGGGGCGGCGACACGGCCATCATCGCTTTCACCCGCATCCGCCGGGAGGGTCCAGAGCTACCGACAATCCAAAGGGGCAAACGGCCAGCAAGGGAGTGTGACAGCCATCCGCCCCCTTTCCACCAAGCTCCACCCAGATTGCCACCAGCTGACAATCTGAAGCCCTGGAGATTGCCACCTGCTGACAATCCAAAGGGCAACCGGCCAGCAAGGGAGTGTGACAGCCATCCGCCCCCTTTCCACCCACCCCCACCAGGATTGCCACCTCTTGGCAATCTGTACCCCCTTAAGATTGCCACCTGTTGGCAATCTGTACCCCCTAAGATTGCCACCTGCTGACAATCTAGATCCCCTGTGATTGCCACCTGTTGGCAATCTGTACCCCCTTAAGATTGCCACCTGTTGGCAATCTGTACCCCCTAAGATTGCCACTTGCTGACAATCTAAATCCCCTGTGATTGCCACCTGTTGACAATCTGTACCCCGCTACGATTGCCGCCTTCCGACAATCTAGACCCCCTAAGATTGCCACCTGTCGGCAATCCATTAGGCCTGGCAAGTGGCAGCTAAGCACCAAAAAAGCGGGTGTGATTGCCACCTGTTGGCAATCTAGCCCCCCCCCCCACCAGGATTGCCACCTTCTGACAATCTACACCCCTTAGGATTGCCACCTGCCGGCAATTTATGAGGCCTGGCAAGTGGCAGCCAAGCACCGAAAACGCCGAACCCGAACCGTACACACAATGCGCTTTTGGGCCCCTCCGCTCGCCCCCTAAGGGGACATGCTAACTGTCTTTTGGAAGCTAGCAATGGCGTTGAACTACAGCGACTGCTGTACGCGCCAGTTCGCTAGCGAAGCGGCCTCCAAACACCTAAAAAGAGCCGAGGTGCCTTCCTTGAGCATTCCAAAAGTAGGCCGCGGGCATACTTTTGGGATGTGTGCCACGGACGCGCTTTGCGCGAGGATCGGTTTGTTTTCCTCCGTGCCAAGGGCCAAGGGGGCTTCCCATTGAGCCTGTCAACGGGAACGCGTGTACTCGCTCGCGGGTGCGCGTTACTACCGGGGATCCGATCTATCTCCAATCGGTGAACACATATGGGCGAAGGATGTTTCAATCCGACCAGAAACATCGGGGAAGCAGGGAGCGTGTGCTGCGGGACATTCTCTTATAATGCGCCTAAAATAAGGCCATCCCAGTACTAAGTACGCTGGGGGGTGCCTTCGAAGACCTTCACACTCTCATACTTCCCACGCATGCATTCACTGAACATGTCCAAGCCAAGGACTGTTTTTTGGTGCAAGCGACTCGGCTGCAATTAAACACGTGCATGTCCACATCTTTCCATGCTAGGCTTCCAATGTGCTAGCAATCATCTGATCTGGACGCCAAGGTACGGCCAACAAGGCCGAAACGCGCAGCAGCCGCCAGGCTGCAATCACATGCGTGCACGCTCCCACTGTCAAAACACTGTCTCGCGCAACACCCCTGCTATTCTTCCTGAACTCGTCAGCTTCCAGTGTCAGGTTTCTCTGCCGCAACGCAAACACTCGCCGTAGCGCAAATTTGGACTCAAGCTTTGGCACCATGAGCAGCACAGACAGCAGGAGCTCTGCCAGCAGCAGGTTAATTAGGTCACCGTAACCCATGACGCAAGCACAAAAACACCAAGGCTAGCCGCCACACTAGCACTCTCCCACTGCATACTCAACACCCCGCACAGTTTCGTGCCGGGATGGCGGAGACACCCCTGGTGGTGCAGTGCCAGCTAGAGGCGTGCCGCGACACCCTCACGGCCAACTTTTTCACGCTGAGCGGCGGCCGCATCCAGCAGCCAGTGAGATATGTCCGATCAAATGTGACACTCCGACACCTGCGCAAGACAGCACAGAGACTGGCACTGAAGGCAGAGTGCCTGAAGTCGGGCACGCAGCCCGGGCGGCTGGTGCTGAGCGACTGCTCCCTCGAGCCAGTGCATAACTTCATAGTATGGTCGCAGGAAATCCGGGCAAGACCCGCAACTCGCAGGCTCCGGAGAAAAGCCGACATGGCCGCACGCAACTTGCGAAGAGCCTTGGCGGAGAGCCTTTGCTCTAGGCCCTAGGCAGACCGTCTTGGCGGGAAAGCTCGCGGAAAAAAAAAAGGCATGCACGCGCCCGCCTTCGCAGCAAAGAGCGAAACAGAGGATCGGCACGTCCAATAAAGCCGGGCGTAGCAGCCAAGGTGCAGCGACCCTCGCAACTCGCCTGCAGCTAGCGAAGCAGGTGCCAGTTCCTAGTCCATCCTGCGATTGCATCCAGGACCCAGCCAAGCCCTGAAGAGCGTTCTGAGACCCGCCCAGCCTGAACACCCGAAACCATGATCTGGCGGCCAAGGCATGGCCGACATCGCCACCCGACCACAGAGGCCGCCAGGTCACTATTACATGCATGCACGCTCTCACCAGCCAGATAGCGTTCTGTGCAAGCCCCCAGGATGCCGCCGAACACATCGACCCAAAGAAGCACCCGAAGTCCGCATGCGGACGGACCCAAACTGGACCCGCGTGGCCACAAGCATTAAAATTGAGCAGTGCGTGCACATGTCGGGCCCTGCCAACATGTCACGCGTGTCGGCAAGACATGCTGCGATAAAGCTAGCCCACCTGCCGCAGCGCTCCTGCACTTGCTCCAGCTGCTTGCCTGGGAACCTTGAGTGGTAGCTTAAGCTCCCACAACATGTCCGACGACCAGAGGCGCAAGTCGTGCCCGCGCATTCCGTTCAGTCGTCTGTTCTCTCTGGCTGGAGGTTCGTGACAACCCTGAAAAGCGGCAACATCCTCAAGGTGCCTGTAAGTGCCACTACAACTCGCCAGACCGTGTGCCTCGCACAGGGCCGCGAGAAGGTCTGGCGCCTCATGGGCGACCTTCCGCACGTGCGTCCCTACGAGTTCTACAAGCTGGCCGGGGCCTCCAGCAGGATCTTAACACGGGAAGTGAATTCCTCGGCACGGTCGAGGCACTGGCACAAACAAAGACCACGGACAATGCCGGCAAGATCGACATCCGGGTGGAGCTCCTGCTGCTCATCTCAAACGGAAAGCCGAGCGCGTGTGCGAATCTGTGCCATGAGCAGGCGCGTGAGAAGGATCGCCGAGCGGAACCACAAGCCTCTGTCTGGCCCTCAGTTGTGCAGCACAGCACATA